ATTCTATGAATACAGTGACTTCGACAAATGGAAAACTTTCTAACAATTAAAGCTATCCAACAATGTAAAGAGCACCACTCTTGGCAAGGCGCGTGGAAGGGATGGCTACCCAGAAGGAAGCTGGGCTACAGAATTTCTAAAAGCCCTTCAGGCAATTAAGATTCTGAGGCTACTGCTGGAACCGAGCAGCTCTGGGCTTGCCAAAGCTCTGGGAACACTTTGCTCTGAAATCTATCCTGTTATCAGTGAGAACATTCCTTTCCTTTAACATTCCATGTTCTACCCACACTTCAAGACTGCTCAAACACTATCTTCTCACTTGTGCCTTCAAATCTAACTGGACCTTGACAAGTTAGTTCTTTGCTCCCCCAGATCCTCTACTCCATCCTCAAAGTGGCCTCCCTTTCACTCTATGAATTACAATACCCAGGCTCTCTTCTCCTCCGGTGTGAGACTGGCTTTGATCAATGACAAGCACCCACCAGGAGATCAAAGGCTGGGAAAAGAAAAGTTTCAGGTACTTATTTCCCGATTCTCCACTACTGCTAGGCCAGTAGAGTGATAGTTGACAGTGATTGCGGGTTTATCCTTTCCGGCATCTAAGCTCTCTCAGGGTTCTTAATCTACTTCCTCTCTTGCCCCTTCAAGCCTGAAAGTGATAATGGTGTTTCACCAAGCCCTGTTGGTCTCCCTTAACACTGCCCAGCATCTGTTCATGGCCCCTTTCCCTCCCCAGTCACTGCTCTGTAGTGCCTCAGCAAAACATGGATCTCTCCAGCAAACTCCTCTCTGCTGGCACAACTCCATCTTCCCAGACAGCTCCTATCTCCCCTAACCCACAACAGTTTTTCCTCTCAGTAACTGGGTTCTGTATGTTTATACACAAGGGCCTGATTCACCATAAATCAACTCCCTATGGAAAATTTTTAATCCCAGGCTGATTCCCAATTCTGCTACCAGTGTGTACAAACTATATGTAATATTAGACTGGGCAATGTCCAATTAAGAAAGTAAATGTTACTAAAATTTCCTGACACACAGACTTTTGTAAAGCCACACCAAAAGGATTTGGGATTCATCTATTTATAAGTCCCCTTTCCTTCAGATCAAAGGCTGGAGAAGTTATCATACTTACTATAGCTCTGCTTCATGTATAAGATTTGAAAAATGCTAAATAAGGCACTCATCTTACAGTGCTACTAAGATTATCAACAATCTGAGTATTTCAATGAATGACCTTACCTTCTTCTACACAATCCTATCAATTAGGTGCCAGATTCAAATAACAGAACTGACTTAGTGTCAACCTTTCAGTTTACTGCTGAAATCCCACTTAAGATTCAGAAGGAAAACAGCCCTGCGAAAGACTCAAGAATCAAAGATAAAATTCTATTCTTGAATTCAGAAAACAAAATGAAGAGATTACTGTTTCCAAATCAAGAGTGTTGCATAAGTTTAAAAGAACACATTTCTTAAGAATTTTCCTTTGCTGCAGAACTGTACACTCTCCAACACATATTCCAAAATAGCAGGGCTTGATCTATGGCAAAATAGTCCAAAGTAACACTACAAGAGCTCATTAAATGCAAGACTCATTCCCCCACCCACATGAGTGCAAGGGCTACCAGCTACCAGATACAGACATCTGGGAACCCTAGACCATGCTTCTGACATTTTATCAAGATTATTCTTAGTTGTGTGTGGGGGGCGGGTCGGCAGCATGCATAATAGGACGGTCAGTCAAATCTCTGACATCCAGCTCCCAAGTATAACAACCAAAATTGTCTCTAAGACACTGCCAAAGTCCTCAAAGGACAAAATCAAAATCACCTCTGGTTGGTTGGCAACCCACAACCCCTAGATAAGCAATTATTCAAATCATTTATCCAGTAACCTTGATTTACCTATTTGAGTGGGAAATAAGAAAAGTCACCCTAGTAGATTTAATTTTATAAATTTTCCTTAAAATCTGCAGGTATTTCTATATACTTGCAAGGTGGCACCATCCCCGGCAATAGGGAGGAGGAAGAGAACAAGGACTAAAAAGAAATGGTTGCCAAAGGAGAAAGAGGTTGCTAAATGCTGTCGGACTTGAATTCCCTCTGAAAGCATTCCAGTCCTCAGTAGATGAATACACATGCTCACTTTATTCTCTCTGAGACACAGGTGGAAAGTACTACAGCCCATGACATGTCCTATAAGAACTGATGGAAAAAGGCAATCAAACACCCCTCATCCAATGAGGACAAAACTAAGGCAAAAACTACAGAGGACTGACAGCCCAAACTCCTTGGTCTGTAATATAAGGCTTGACATATAGGTGGACTCCAGCTGATCTTCAAGTTTTATAATCATAGAATAAACCCACATCACAGGGTTTTCTACCCTGCCACGCTCAATGCCTTCTTTTTATAACCAGTATTTTGTAATTAATGTCCCTTTATTATTATAGAGAAATTCAAAGATTATAATTTGCTACCTATAGGCATAACTCTCAACATTGCATTGCAATGTAGGTAAGATTATACTAGACGGTGAAATCACCCCCTTTCCAACCACACACATTTCCAGAGTCCCCTAGAAGGCAGTTACCCCATCCCTTCTGCCCTAAGGCAGATCAAATAGGAGGAGGGATTTGAAATCACACCAAATGTGGCCAAAATGTGACTCAGACGCCTCACAGCTATGGCTCCCTAAGTCTAGATCTTCACATATAAAAGGAGGGTGCCAATGTATTTTTCAAAGGCTTTTCGTGACAATGAAATGAGTTTGTAGATTATTTCTGTACCTACCATGTAATACATGCTAATAAATGTTTCAGATTATTCCTGAATCCATCTAGTATTTCCTAGCTCTTGCCCATCTTATCCCCCCAGCAGAAAGAATGGATTTATCAGAATCTAAAAAGATTCATGTATAAGAATTTGCAAGGATGATTTCTATGGGTCTTTAGAATTCTGAAATTATAAAGTGTTGCCCTAAGTTAAGGTTAATTTTTTTTATTAACCAGATTCCTTTCTTCCCAGTTAGAGATCCAAGAACCTATCTTATACATCACATGAAGTAGCTAGAGAAACACTCAGTACCCAGATCATTTACACTAACTCACATGAGGATTTACTGCCCCCACTGAATACCCAGCCTTGGTCATTGGTTCTTTACACTTAACAGTTGAGGAGAAAATGACACCTGTTCAAGTAAAAGCACCTTATACAACATGTGTAGTACCCTCAGAGTGATGATTTTCAAGAGCCAATCATTCTATGACTTAACTCCTTACACCAACAAGTAAAAGAAGACCCCTAAATATACTACATTATTGGGCCCTTCCTGGTGGCACAGCGGGTTGGAGCGCAGCAATGCAAGCTAGCCGCTGCCACTTCAGTGCAAATTTGATCCCTGGCCCCGGGAGTGACCTCATGGCATGGCAGAGCTCTCCTGACCCACACGTTGCTCCACTCAGCAGTGTGCTTCATCAATCTGCCTGTTCTGCTCCCCATTGTCTCTGGTGAATCCTCTCATCCATTGCATCTCTAGCCTGTACCCCAGTTCTGTATGCATAAATCTTTTTTTGAAAAAAAAAAAAAAATACTAGATTACCAAAAGAGGAAGTGAAAAGGTAGTGGCAACAGTTAAATATTTAATACTTCAACATAAAACTGATTTTGGAGTTAACACTCTGAATAGAAGTAGTCACTGCTCAGGCTGCTAAAGAGAATGAACAGGCCCAAGAAGTAATAAGCACACCTCTGGGAACAGTGGTCTATCCTACTTCCACATAGGAATCTTAATAGACATAAGAAGATGGATCTATCAGAGCAAAAAGAGAAATGCCAACTGTTTTAAGTCATTCCTCTAAAGTGATAACAGTCTATCTCTGAGTAGTGGAATTCCTATACAGTTGTTTCCTTTTGCTTATTTATAGTTCCTACTTTTTATAAACACAATGCTCTGTCATAAGAATCTAAAATCACATGAGGCTATTATTATCTACTGATAATCCATGAAATTTGAGGCAAGAATCTACTTTACGTGAACGCTTCATCAGGAATCTAGATAAATCAAGTATTATCTATGACACTAAAGTCATCTTTTGTCCTGCCCCCCCCCCCCCAGCTAATCACAAAGTGGCTTTTCCTCTTCTTTATTCCTCTTGCAGACCTTACAGGTTTTACCACTACAGGAAGTCAGCACCAGGTACAGGAAAACCTCACTATTAGCTTTTGCCAACTTCCCAGTGACAGCAAACAATTCTGGACAGCGGGATAGAACAGAATTGTTTTTAAGGAAGTATTTTTGTAAAAAGAAATACCAGACTCAGAAGTGACTTATACACCCCCTCCAAATAATTTTTTGTACTTGAAAGTCATAGGCTCCTCCTAATTTCCACATTAAATTCCCTCTGAAGAATCATAAACATCCCAGGAATAAAGCATCATTTTGGTAAAGAATCATTTGGTAATATCATTCTCCCTGCTCAATGAGGAAACGATATATAAAGATCTCAGGAAGAGAGGAAAAAACAGCCTCAAACCAGCAAACGAACTTAAATTTGAACTAGTTTATTTCAACAAGCATTTGATAAGCACTAGCTACATAGACGGCATTGCGATGTGTGTTTATTCATCTCTAAACAATTAAGACATGATGTCTGCCTTCCAGGGAATCCTAACTAACCTGGGAGTCAAACACTTAAAAACTAATGTCTGACCCAGACAAAATGTAACAGAAGTTTTAAAACAACTTTCTCCGGAAGGGGAGAGATTAAAATCAACTGCGAGAATTCTGAAAAAAAGATTCTGCATATATATAAAATACATATTCCTATGCTTAATTCACTTATGTATCCGTCTTAATCATTTAACCTAAACTAAAAGGTTTCAGAAATACTCAGCTAGGAAAAGCTAGCATCAAAGGTGAAATCAAAACAGTCTTTGAACTAAAAATAAAACTTAAGGGACAAGTGCCCCGTAGCAAAGAGATGTTTAGAAAAGACTCACCAACATCAGAAGGTCCGTGCTCGGCATACTCCTCTCTGAGTCTCCCCTTCAGTGCCTCCTCTCTGCAAAAGGGAACCAGGTTTGTTTACTTCTAAAGCTTTGAACAGCCACCTCGGCCCGCCTAGATTTGCAAGAGCAGTCAAGAAAAGGTTCCCTTCCCTTCTTTGAGAGCTCAGATTTCACTCCCAGCTATCACACTCCGCCCCCAGCCAGCCGAGCCAGCGAATCGGGATCCCGCCGGAGCTCCATTTCCCGCCCACAGCAGATCAAACGAATCCAGACCCAGCCTCCCACAAAGCAGCCCCCCTAAGGTGCCTACCGGGGGTAACGCCCAGCCCGCCCCCGACCCCTCAGCCAGCCCCGGGGTCCGGCCTCCGCCGGACTTTTTCAGACCGCCCACCCCGCTCTCGACTCCGTCCCACGCACCCCAGAACCCAAAGATCTGCAAGCCCCAGCCCCGCAAGTCCACTCCTACCCGGCCGGAGAAGTGGAGTTCCACACCTCGGCTCCAACGCGGCCCCCGCGCCCTCCACCACCCACTCGTGAGCCTTCCACTCATTCGCTCACTCGGACCTCTGGCGTCGCCCCCAAGCCCCCCACCAGCCCACCTCAAGCCTCAGCCGCCCCGCCTCTCAACCGCCCAGCCCTCCCCCAAGAGGACCCCGTCCCAGTCCCGGCCGGCCGGCCCCCCGCCGATGCTCCTCTCACCCCAACCCGAGGCGGGGCCCCCGCCCCCGCCGCTCCTCTCACCCCAACTCGAAGCCCTCCCCCGCAAGGCCCCCGGACCCCCTCCACCTCCTCTGCGGGGAGCCAGCCCCCCCGCTCCTCCCCTCCGGCTCACTCTGTCGCGGGTCCACTCCCACTCGCAGTACTACCTACTCGCCCGCGATGGGGCGCGGGCTCCCCCTGCC